TATATGTGAACTGCTGTATGGAAAGTGAATTTGCTCTATAAATCTTCACCCAAATCACAATTAAAAAAACAAACAAACAAAAAAAAAACCCAAACCCATTGCTGTCAAGTTGATTTCAATTCATAGTGACCCGATAGGACAGAACAGTACTGCCCCATAGGGTTTCCAAGGTTGTGATCTCTATGAAGACTGCCATATCTTTCTCCTGTGGAAAGGCTGGGTTCAAACCACTGCTCTTTTGGTTAGCAACTAGGCACTTAACCATTGTGCCACTGGGCCTCCTAATTTCATACAACCTATCCTATCTCTATTTCAAGGAGTGCTGATGGTGTGGTGTGTAAGGCATTTGGCTGCTAACCAAAAGGACAGTGGTTCAAACCCACCAGTTGCTTTGCAGGTGGAAGATGAAACAATCTACTTCCATAAAGATTTACAGCCTTGGAAACCCAATGGGGGTTGCTATGAGTTGGAACTGACTCAATGGCAGTGTTTTTTTTTTGTGTGTGTGTGTGTCTTTATTTCAACACACAAATTTACAACCTATTTTATATTGATCATATCTTAGTTTGGGCTGTCTCCTAATAATATCTGGGGCAATTCTTCAAATCTCTCTTAAAATATAAGGTCTCTATCTTTCCCTAAGGGTCTTATCCTTTCTCTGACTTTACTTTCCCTCATTGCTACCTGTTCTTGGATTTTGGCAGAATGTTAAATCCTTAAGGGATTTGTACAAAGGCCTCAATTCTAGTCAAGTAACTATGCTCATATATGCTCTCACAATCAAGGGCTGATTGCAGATATAGGAATAAGATGCTGAAGTGCCTTTTTTGCTAGCCCAGGGTAAAAAGCATAGTGTTCAAACACATGGAAGAGAAGAAAGGAACCTTTTAACTTTCTGAGAGACTGTCTATGCATTATAAATAAATTTTTGGCCTAGATTTAAAGAGTGACATGCAACCTCCTTAGCCAAAAAAAGCTCTGTTCCTGTCCTAGTTTGCCCATTATAAATTATTTGTGAGCTGATAACACCCAGCTCATTATTACTCTGTTCTCTTCTTCAATGGGTGTAATGACTACAAACATTGCCTGGCAGAGAATACGATGAAGGCTTATATCATTAGTGACAGAAACACAAGCTTGTTTCTGTTGGGCTCCGCCTGGGACACAACTGTGATGCCCAGTGGAAATCGGTCAGTGTTAGCTGGATTGGCGCTCTGAGGCAGGAGAAGGACACAAACCTGGGATGACCTTATTACCAATAAGGAGGTCTGTTCATCAGGCTCTCAGGTGACCATACAGAAGGCACCTGGACAACTGTTTGAAAGACACTTAAACCAATCAGTCTCTGGCTTGTCTTTTTTTTTTAAATATAAAGACATTAAAACCAGTTGCTGCTGAGTTGATTCTGACTCATGGAAACCCCTGTATCTCAGAGGAGAACGCTGTATAGAGTTTTTAACGGTTGTGATCTTTTGGAAGCACTTTGCCAAGCCTTTGTTCCAAGATGCTTAGGTAGATATTTGAATGGAATTGAACCACCAACCTTTGGTTAGTAACTCACCCCATAACCATTTGTGCTACCCAGGGACTCTGATAAAGGCATTCATTACTTATGTTCAATAAAATTCACTCATATCAAGTATACTTTTTTTGGTAACTGTGTAACCACAACCAAAGTTAAGCTATACAACCATTCCTTTACCCTAAAAAATTTTCTCCTGTCTCTGCTGCTGACCCCCACATCAACCATGGCCATAGGCAACCACTGATCTGCTGTCACTTTACTTTTGCCTCTTCTAGAATTTCATATAAATGCAATCATACAGCATATAGTCTTTGATCTTTACTTAGCATGAAGTTTTTGAGATTCATCCATGTTGTTGCATATATTATTACTTCATACCTTTCTACTGCCGAGTAGTATTTCATTCTATGAATATATCAACATTTGTTAGTCCTTAACCAGTTAAGGGATGTTTGAGTTTTTTCCAGTTTTTGGCTATTAAAAATAACACTGTTCTATTTATGCACATGTCTTAGTATAGACATCTGCAATCATTCCTCTTGATAAATACACAGGAGTGAAACTGCTAGGTTATATGATAAATGTGGGAGTTCTGGTAGTGTAGTGCGTAAGGCACTTGACTGCTAACCAGAAGGCTGGTGGTTCAAACCTACCAGCCACTCCTCAGAAGGAAGATGGGGCAATCTACTTCCGTAGTGATACTGCCTCAGAAACCCAAGGAGAGGTCGCTATGAGTCGGGTCCGACTCGATGGCACATAACAACAACAACAACATGATAAATGTACTTTTGACTTTATAAGATGCTGTCATGCTGTGACACAAAGTGGCTGTACTGCTTTTGTATTCCCCCAGCAATGTGAGAGGATTCCAGTTGCTTCACATCTTTGCCAACATATGGTAACATCAGTCTTTTACACTTTGGTCATTCCAGCGCGTGTGTAGTGTTATCTCATTGCAGTTTTAATATGTATTTTTCTGATAACTAGTGTTATTGAACATCTTTTCACATGTTCAATGACCATTTGTGAAATGTCTTTTAAATCTTCTGCCCATTTTTAAATTGAGTTCTTTGTCTTCTTCTTGAGTTAGAGAGAGAGAGAAATGAGATTAAGTGTGTATGATTTAATGCATACTTTTTGGATGTAAGCCTCAGCCCTTGATTTTAAATGCAAAGCTCAAAGAGCCACACATATTATCTTCTCTGAAGTGTCTATCGTTGGACATCATGGGAAGTTGGGGTCTCAGAACATGCAAAACAGGCAACATTAGCTGTGTACTTACTATGGAACAGGTACTATTTAAGTCCTGTATTGTATTAATTCCTTTAATCCTCACAACAACCATTTAAGGTAGGTACTATTATCATTACTATTTCACAGGAGAAGACGCGAAAGCAAGTTGAGTATCTTGCCACCGTCATACAACTAGTAAGTAGTGCAGCTGGGATTTGGCCAGCCGGCTGGCTCAGTGCTCATGAGTGCAGCTTACAGTCTACCTCTTTCTTCTATGTCTCCCTCCAAAGTG